TATAACAATCTCCAGAGTTATTCCCCAGGCAGGTATAGATGTACTGACTATTTGCATAGTCACAGAATGAAACAATAATTCTTTTATCTATTAACAATACAGGTTTCTGATTATTTAATTACCCTTTCATGCACACAATTTAACATGACAGTATTTAGGAAAAGAAAGTAAAAGAGTTCTTGAAAGGGTTCCCTGGGGGAAAACAACTGGTAAGACATGGATTTTTAACCTACATTTTTCCTTTTGTAGCCTCTCTAGAGAGTGGAAGTGCTATGAATAAGTGAGTCTTCAGAAACTGCTATTTCTGTTTGTAGAGGGAAACCTGATAGCATCTTATGGAGTATTCAGTTTCTTTCTTGTCTCTACAACACAACTGAGATAAAGGAGAGGGTGTCTAAATGGCAGGTTAATTCTGGGTGACAACAACCTGGCATATCAACTGCAAACAATGGGAGAAGAAAGACTAACTTAACAGCACAGGTGGCATCTATAAGCCTTAGAGATTTTTTTGAATTTCAGTAGGCTTCACATTTCTGTAATCAAGACTAAACAACAACAACAAAAAACCAACCAGATAAACAAAAAAGCTCAAACATTTGGCTAACAAAAACACTTATTTTTCCCTAGAGGGATAAAGGGAAGATAAGGGTTGAAAAGGAGAGAATAAGGTTCCCATTATGACTGAAGGGCAGAAGAATGGAGGTTAAATAAAAAAGTAAATTCACTCATGTATTGATGGGCACTGGGGTTGTTGGGAGGAGAGGATAGGTGCGTAATGGGTGCGGTGCACATCGTCTGGGGGATGGACACGCTTGAAGCTCTGACTCAGATGGGCAAAGGCAATACGCATTACCTAAACACTTGTACCCCCATAATATGTTGAAATAAAAAATAAAATAAAATAGTATGGTAATGATGAAAAAATAAAATAAAATTGAGAATTCAAAAAACAAAGTCAATTCCTAGATGCCATATACATATTTTTTGTATTCTGAAATAGGGATTGCTACTTCAGTATTTATTTTACACAGTGGTTTGATTTTCTACTCACTCTCTCCAACCCCAAACTAGGCTCCAGGTTTATCTTTTTAAATTTTTTTGACTACATAAAAGGGCCAAGTACTTTGGCAGAGACATTAGAATTCCATTTTTTCCCTTTTTCATATCCGGATTATATTCCTGATCTGTGTCTCTCCATCTACCACTTTCTGTAAGCCAAAGGGGAGCAATTGTTTTTTAAATTTCTCTACTTTTCTAGAACAAGTGCACGATGGTCATTTTGTTCTCATAAAGATTCAATCTTAAGGTATGTGTGAATTTCATTCTAAGGTGTCTGAGTTTTCCCTTCAACATTCTCACAAGAAAGAAACATGCTTACTGGTTATCTATACAGTATTTCTTGGGGCCAGTTTCCAATTTCCTTTCTGGCATCTTTTCTTTATTTTTTAAATTTTTTTTTTTAACTTGCGCATTATCACAGTGCCCTATACATACCTTTTATGGAGCTTTATTACATCATATCATAGTTTTTTAATGTTGTTTCTCAGGTAAAGTTTTTAATTACATACTTAGTCCTTCTTTCATTAGACTTTATCTAAAAATAGATCTTGTCAGAAATGTTTCCATCTACTAAGCAGCTCATAGACAGACTGTGAATATGCCTGTATACAGGTAGGAGAAGGAGGAAGAAGTTTAATCTGTGAGTAAAAAGCTACAAGGTAAGTCCACTGTTATAAAATGGAAAAATTCCTTTTGAAAAATTGGTATGGTTTAGCAGAGTGAGAAAAAAATCAGTAATCATTCTACTAAATTATTTTTGGCTGCAACTGGAGAGAGGTCAGCAACAAAAAACTAACTTCTCCAAATGATTATGGGCGTCTTGGCAAATTAGAATGTTTTTTTCATTGTTAAACAGATATTTCTTTTTCCTCTGACGTATATCATGACACAAACCCCAAACTTGTAAAAAACCCAAAAGAAGAGGAAGGAAAACGGATGAAGTACAGTTCAGCACAAATAATACCATCTAGCTTCCAAATAAATTATTCATGGTAGCTATTTATATGGTGTAATTCCTATACTTACCTGACAATATGCTGACAAGTTCTTCTCTCTACTGTATCTTCCTCAGTTGGCTTATTCAAGTCTGACAAGAAAGGGAAGAGAACAGTGGATTCTCTCTCTCTTCTTAGAAAGTATTTAGATTATGTTTGTTATTCTAAGTTATTTTGTGTAGACAAAAAATAGTAAGTTATTATATTTAAGGGAAGCAGAGTCTTATCTGTTGGCTCCTTTAAAGAAGAATATAAATGTAATTAAAGGACAAACCAAGTTATCCGACTGTGCTTAATTATTTCATAAATCACTGACTCCCAGGCTGGCAGGGACCTGAAATGCCACCTTCCTACCCTCAGCATGAAGACATGAACTATACAGAAGAGAACCAATCCCATTTTTATGGTCTCACTGAGCACTTCCTACATCTTTCCTTGTTACTCATTGTGGTGTCGCACTCCTGGACGTCAGAATAGTCTTCCTGATGGAATTCGTCTGATTGATTTTTTATCCTCTTACATTAGCCCAGGGAGGTCAAGATAATTAATTCATAATTTACCATTTTCACCAATTAAAGTTTATTTTGTTTTCTGATTTCAAGGTTTTTCATCATCATAGTATACTTAAGTGAGTACATAGACTCAAATCTTGCTTCCACCATTTGTTAGCTGTGTGACCTTGGAAAAAATGTTTAACCTCTCTGTACTTCATTGTCATCATTAATAAAATTGAGGTAATGAGAGTACCTACCTCATAGGGTTCTTACGAGCATTAAATTAAATGAGTTAATATTTGTAAGTCCATTAAATCAATGCTGGCATATAGAGCGTGGTACATAAATGTTTTTTAAAAAGTTAAAGCATATTTTGAAAATAAAAAGGAAATAAAAATTTAGAAAATACAACAAAAGAAAAAACTACCAATAACCTGATTATAGAGATAATACTGTTTTTATTTTAATATGATTTCATCTGGCCTTATGTGTATATGTGTCACATATATAGCACATAATTGGGAGGATGCTAATTTGAGAAAAAGCTCTATGTCATCAACTTCTTCACCTAACATCATTGAGTATTTCTCCATATCCTTAAAAATCTTTGAAAATCATGCTTAGTGATTTTTTTTTTGTTTGTGCCTGCTAGATGACTTTATAAATCAGATCTAAGTTCAAAAACAGTTGTCCAAAAGGGAACACCAGGACATTCTGACCATAGTTTACAATCCAAAGTCACTTTGGATTGCTCTTAGTGATTTTATGGCAATCCACCCCCTCAGCAAGCCCTCTATTATTGAGCTATGGGATCGTTTTTAATATTTATCTCTTCCAGCCAATGCAGTAAGAAATATATTTGTAAATAAACTTTTATCCATCTTTTTTGAATATTTGTATTCTAAATTTTCATGAAGTAGGATACTGGGAGAGAGGATATTTTGAAGACTCCAGATACATACTGTTAAATTATGTGAGAAATGTATTAATTCATGCTCCTATGAGGTAATATATGAGATAACATCTTTCATAGCAACATGTAATATTGTTTTAAAAAAAGGAAAGAAAATGTTCCTAACTCGATGGTTAAAACTATATCAGTTTAATATTTTAATATTTTTTTCTTGTTTTCTGGTTAGAGTGAATATTTCTGCATAGTAACTATCATAAAACAGTAAATTGGTTTAAGTCATGCCTTAACCTTGGTTTTTCAAGTGGAATTCATTGTTCTTTTATGTTTTCCATTGTGTCATGCTTTCTAACTTTAATTGACGTGTAATTCTCCTCTAGAGAAGTTTTTCCTCTTTGGAATATTTTCTTATACTAGAAACCAGGATAAGAGACTATTTTAGCATTGGGGGAAGACTAAATTGTATTTGACATACTGGGAGAATTTATCTTGTTTCTATTTATGCAAGTCATGAACAATTATCTAGTGACCAGTATGAGTTAGTACTTATCTAGGTACTGTGGAGATAAGAGAGGGTCCTTACCCTTCCGAAGTTTAAAGTCTAGTTGGAAAGAAAAGAAACAATTAGTGGTCAATATAAGGCATCCTCCCGTGAGCAAACTGTGGAATACATACAAAGTGCTAAGATCATTTAAAGAAGGGAGCGATCAATGGTAATGTGAATGATCATCAATGAGGATGTCCTTGGCAGAGGGAAGGGCAGGAAGTGTAGGTGAAAATAGCTACAGAGGTAAATGGCATCTTTCACAGATTGAAAGAGCTTGGATTTTTGTGTCAGACCTGGGTAGGAAGCCTCAGCTATACCACTTATTAGCTCTAACCTTAAGCAAGTGTATTAATTGGGTTTTAATCCCAATTCTGCCACTCATGAGTGAGTAACCTTGGCAAGCTACTAATTTCTATGAAATCTAAATTTGCTCAGGCATAGCATTAGGGTAATAAGAATAGAGTACCTACCTTACAGGATTGTCGCAGGGATTAAATGAGTAAATTCAAAAATTAGGGCTTGGCATATTATAAGCACTCAATAGCAATAAGTTTTATTATTAACCTAGTTAAGCATTCATTTAGTAAATTTAGTAAGTTACTTGTTAATATGATATACTAATGATTCTCCATCATAATAGATAAGTATGGGTGTTCTGACAAAGAATTGGACAGATTTGGCTTTGAAAAAAAGAGAAAGAGACTGGAACCTGAAGGTTACCTCCCAAATCATGATACACATCATATATTTTGTGTTTGTGTTTGTGTGTGTGTGTTTGTTTTGAAGACAGGGTCTTGCTCTATCGTCCAGGCTGGAGTGCACTGGTGGCATGATCATAGCTCACTGAAGCCTTGAACTTCTGGGCTCAAGTGAGCTTCCTGCCTCAGCCCCCTGCATGGCTAGGATTATAGGCACACACCACCACACTCAACTAATTTTTCAATTTTCTTTTGGTAGAGATAGAATCTCACTATGTCACCCAGGCTGGTCTCAAACTCCTAGGCTCAAGTGATCCTCCCACCTTGACCTCCCAACATGCTGGGATTACAGGCATGAGCCACCATGCCTGGTCTGTATTTTGAAGTGGAGTGCTCAGCTCTTCACTCAGGTCAGTATTGCTCATTACAACCTGCACGCACAGACCTGTTTCCCTCCATTTAGCTTGAGAGTCTGATTTTTCTCTGGAAGGTCCAAGTCAGCTCTGATATTTTTGAAGATCAAATTCAATACTGAATTTTGAAGATCAAATTAATATATCCTAATAAAAGATATAGTTAACATTCCTAAAATAGGAATATAATTACAATACTAATTAAGTAAAGAGGTACGATATTAACAACACTAAAGAGAATGGAGGGATTTAGAAAAATCAAAATACTGAGAATAGAGGTTTTAAAATATGTATACTCCCTTTCTTGACATTCTTCCTTCCAAAGCTGGAGCCTAGTTCTGCTCTCCTGGATTGTGAGCTGGACTTAGTCACTATTTTTAATTAATAGAATGAGATGGAAGTGAAAGTATTTGACTTCCAAAACTTGGCCATAAGAAACTTCACAGCTTCCTCCTTTCTCTCTTGGATCAGTCTCATTAGGAGAACCCAGAAGCCTTGTCGTGAGGAAACTCAAGAAGCCCCACGGTGAGGTCCGCGTCATAAGGAATCAAATCAAACCCCCCTGCCAACAGCCAGCTCAGACACGCCAGCCGCGCCAGCGAGCCATTTTGGAATAAAACCCTCCAGTCACAGTCAAGCCTCAAACGACTACAGCCCCAGCCAACATCTTGACTGAAACCTTCTGAGAGAACCCTGAGCCAAAACCACAAGGCTAAGCTGGTCACAAAATTCCTGACCAACTGAAACTGTGTGGGATAATAAAGGTTTAATTTTTTTAAGCCGCTAAATTTTAGGGGTAATTTTTTATGTAGCGATACATAACTTACATACACTGAACATGAATATAAATTGAGATTTTACCATCAGATACTTAACCTAATTCACTTGAGGAAAAATAAAAGAAGCCACATATGCATAGTGAACTGGAGGAAAATTTTGGTCAAGCAGAAATGAAGAAAATAATTAGAAAAAGCAAACATTAAACAGGAAATTAACTATAAGTAGGTCATACCTTGTGGAAGTTCACCAAGCCCGTTTCATCTGTTTCCTGGATGTATCGCTGGACTACGTTTCCCAGCCTCCCTTGCAGTTAGACGTGACAATAATATAGAGTGCTCACCATCTGAAGGTGAAAACATCCCACAAAATCTTCCATGTTTTCTCTTTTTCTGTCTGCCAGCTAGATATGAAAAACCAGAGCAATCTTAGAAAATGATAGAGCTTCTATCAGCCCAATTTCCTAAGGATTGGGGAGCAGACAGTCCCCCAACCCATGCTGATGGAGGATTTTCCATCTTCACTGTGGCTTTTATGTTCTGAGACAGCCTCATCTAGCCACCAGATTATGGAGGGAAGAGAATCAAGGCAGGCTGGTTTCTTAAGCCTAGAAGTGTCACTTTAGCCAGGAAGTGACCCACATCACTTTGCTCACATTCTATTGGTGCAAACTAGTCATTTGGCTCTACCTAAATGAAAAGAGACTTGGGAAATACAGCCCTTGCTTTCCAGTAACTACTCTACACAAAGGAGATGAGCATGGATCTTTGGTGGATCTACCATAGTCTATCCCTCCTCACACAGAGAGAGGACTCAACTCCCAAGGAGGAGGATGCAAAGAGTCATCTAGATATTGCCTCCAGATCCCTAAAATGTACATAGTCTTCTTCATAAATGTAAGATGCCTCTTGTGATGTGACAAACTATAAACAAAAAAGATAAGGTATACCTCATATAAAAGACACAATGATGGAACAGGGACATGATAACTATAAGAAACCCTCTGACAGTAATTGTTGGTCCATAAAAATGCTGAAACTTTGTCATGCAGGCATTGTGCAGTCTTTCTGAACTGTGGATGGGGTAAATTCGTTGGCTGTGTCTTGTTCCGTTTTCTGGAAGGAACTCATTTGCCCACTATTCTAGAAGCAACCCCCCTCCCCCATTCAACCCTCTAGGATTTTCTTCCTTGCCTTTTATTATTTATGGCCACATCTAAAATGGATATTAAAGAGCATGCCCTTTTGGGGGGCTGTATAAATTTTCCAGCTTGTTTCCTACAAGTTTGGAAACCAAAGTGTTTTTTTTGTTTGTTTGTTTGTTTGTTTGCTTTCAGACAGAGTCTTGCTTTGTTGCCCGGGCTAGAGTGAGTGCCATGGCATCAGCCTAGCTCATAGCAACCTCAAACTTCTGGGCTCACGTGATCCTCCTGCCTCAGCCTCCCAAGTAGCTGGGACTACAGGCATAAGCCACGACGCCCAGCTAATTTTTGGTTTCTATTTGTAGTTGACTGGCTAATTTTTTTTTCTAGTTTTAGTAGAGACAGGATCTTGCTATTGTTCGGGCTGGTCTTGAACTCCTGACCTCAAGTGATCCTCCTGCCTCTGCCTCTCAGAGTGCTAGCATTACACGCATGAGCCACCGCACCTGGCCCGAAGAGTTTTTAAAGGCTCAAATAGTCAAAAGCTCATGGCTTCTTTGGCAATAAATTTCCCTGAGAAACAGGCTTTTGTGTTACCATGTGCAAATAACCATAGGCAAATTTTCCTGCCTCCAGCCTGAATTGTTTCCTTGCTTCCTGACCACATACTTTTCTTTCACAGCTTAAGGACGCTCTTTTGAGATTATCCAAAAACAGCTTTGCCCTTAATACGATCTTTGACATAAGGCTGCATCACTACTGAACTTTTTGTGCTCAAAGTCTCTGTCGGCCTCATCTTTTATCTTTAGGAACCTCTCTCTCTCTTACCCCCTTTTGTTGTTCACAACCAGGAAATGTTTGTTTTCCTGAGTTCATCACATGTGTAAGGTATGATTTAAGGCCGGTCCTGGCTCTACCCTCTTGCTGCTCTGGTTCTCCTGGTTTCCCTGCTATGGATCCATTCAAATATAGGTGACATCACTGATTCTGCCATTTAACAAGGGAAAATTAGTTCAATTTTTAGCAACTGTTCTTAATGTCATTTATATTTCAAAGCATTTAGTTTTACTAATTTGGCAAAATGTGGGCAAGATTAAATAAAATTCAAAGATAAATACAAGCATATGAACTCTGTGGTCTGGATAAATGACAGTGAAGGAGAATCTTTTGCCAGTGTGCTCACTGAATAAAATCCTTTAAGTTTTAATAATATGAATATTATAAAAAAGATCCAACCACACCAGAGGATTTTATTGGATTTTTCTATGGCAAAACTCTCCTATTCAAAAGATAACTGAGTTTTTTTGGCCACATAGCATGCTGATGATTGAAGCTATAACTATTCAAGGTCTGGAGGATTATGGTACAAGGTACTCATACATTGTACCCCACAACTAAGCAAAAGACAACTTTCCAAATTGTTTTTGTCTTACGAAGGGAAATATAAATTTCTTTCCTGGAGAAATATATTTTTCATCGTGGATATAAGAGACTTCCAAATGAGCAGTTTCCAGAAGATGGTGATGATGATGAAGATGAAGGAAAGGGAGAGAGAAGGGGTGGGAAATAGAGGAGGAGGAAGAGGAAATTCAGAAGATTATGGAGAGGGGGGACAAGGAGAAAGAAAAGATTATGTTGTGTCATGGTGATGAGTAATCATCACAATTCAGTTTTTCATCAGCCAGTAATCAAAATAAACATAGGATCCCAATTGTCTCCAAAAACTCAGATTCTGCTGTTACACAGCGTCTCACCTAAGATAATGGTGAATCCAACTATGGAAAGCAGATAGGATTCTGTCTCAGATCTTCCTCTTATTTTATCAGTGTTGCTCAAGGCAAACGGTATTATGCTCATTTTACAAATGAAGAAACCATGGCTCAGATGTCTTGACAAGAGTAGAGGAACAGGCATTCAAACTTCAGGTCATTTGTTTTCCTGGTTCTGAAGCTCTTATTATATCATATGTTGTGGAGACACAAGACATTGTACATGACTGTAAAATTCCTGGCACGTAGTAAGCACTCGAATATGACTTTATTGCCTTCATTGGATTCCTTACTGGAGACTAAGTGAAACTTATGTGGACTACTGGATACGTAGGAAGAGTAACTACATTTTTTATTTAGCTCCAAGGAAAAGTGTCAGTCAGTATAGGTTATCTGAACCTCAGTGGGGACAGTGAGTAGGATTTAATTTGATTTTATATTTTGAAAAAAAATATATATGAAGAGATAACTAGAGTTTCTTCCCATAAGGAAGTAAATAAGAATCTTGATCCAATTTTTATTTTAAACAGGTGGTGCAAGATATGAGGCCTCACTTCCAATTGTCTCTTGACCTTGACCTCACTTATACATAATAAGGATAAAATTCTACTTAATAACATAGATTGTGATTCATCCTTCATATGAAAATGGAGATCAAAATTAGATTAAGAGAAGATTAAGAGCAGGGGCATAAGCTAATTCAGTATTTGTTTCTCACCTAAAAGCTTTCTAGTTTTTTAGATAAGTGCTTTTAAAAAATATCTATTCATGTATTTTTTTCCCCACATCATACCATTCATACTCTTAGTTGAATACTGACTAGAGAAATCCAAATAACCTGGACTATCTCATATAAAGCAAAAAAAGAAAAAAAGGCACAGTTTACATTATTTAATGGTATGGTGGCAAGAAAAATGATACACAGGTTAGGGGTAAATATTAGTTTTAAATTTTGACAAATAATTTCAAATATAATTTTAAAAGACTAAAACAGCATCACAGATTCAGGTTTAAATAAAAATTAACAAATAGAATAAAACATATTAATAAATACTTTATTTTAAAATGATATGATATACTTGCTATAAGGTGTCAAATGCCCTTTAAAAAAGCTCATAGCCTTAATAATTTCCCATTATAATATAAAAAGCACATAATAAACATCAAATTATTTTTGTTTGGCAAGAAAAGTAAAAATCAAAAGCACGATGAGAGCCACTGAGTGCAAACTCTAAATATACTATATAGTAATAACCCATCTTTTCTTTCTTTCTTACATGACATTTTTTTGGAACCTGGCTAAGAAGCGTAAAAATGACAGTGAGAAAATAACGACGGCTTTTCCTGAAACATAGGAGAAATATGAGAAGTTGGAATAAAGGAATATGCTGCCCATAGTTCCCTGAAATAAAATAACAATCCACAGTAAAATAATTTCTAAATATGCCATATTCTTATGAGCCCGAAATTGAGAGGCTAAAAAAATAAATCAATAAACATTTGTGGGATGCTGAACCACCGAAACAGATTTATATAATTATGGCATCTCATTCTGAGGTTGATTCCAAATCCTTCATTCATGATCTGTGAAACACTTCTCTTGTTCTTAAAGTCAACATTAAGGCATGCCAAATTCCTATAAGAAAATTATTCTAACAATAGCTTTGGATATAGAAAGATCTATAACTATAAAATGTACTCCTAATACATAGACCTGAGTGCGCATAAACTTGCACACCAACACACTTAAACCACAAGTACACTCTTAAGTGTAAGCCACGGATTTTTAAAATCAGTTTTATGTGTCTAAAATAATGTCTTACTTTTTACAGTGTCAATGCACTAGGCAGGCAAATTATTTCCCTAGACTTATAAAAGTCAGAAGGAAAGAATATTGTAGAATACTATGAACCATAAAATAATACAGCTGAAAATCAGCTGAAATACAATGATGTATTAATTCTCTTTCTTATGAACTATTTTACACTGGTAAAAGCCAGTGAGACTTCATTATAATTCTCACTGTAGTCATTCTTTATGTCCAATTCTGGGAAAGGTTAAACCCATTACAGAGAGCAGTGGGGATCTGTTTTATTCCTTTGTTGCAGTGGAATTTAGTTGACAGCATTAAATCTTGCTGTAGATTTGGCAAAGGTTGTGAATCTTCTTTGTCAGATCACATTTTTGTGGTGACATTAATTGCTAGAGTGAAATCTGACCTTCAGATTGAAAAATCTTCTCCTTATTGATAGATATATAGAATCCTTTAACTGTAGAATAATTCAGGCAAGGTTTTGTGTGAGCCAACTATTGTACATGTGAAAGATGTGCTCCTGCCTAGAATTTTGCTTGTCTTAAAGAAGCAAGTAAAAAAAAGTAGAGTCACTTGAGTTCAGACTCTTAATTCTTAATATCCAAGTGGTGCTCACTCACTCATTTAACCTTACCCTAGGGAGCAAAGGGAAGGCGCAAATAAATTTGGTAGGGAAGTCTTTTTGTCCAAAGTTGCACCTCAAAGGGCATGTGCCAGCACTGGTCCAATTGGGTTCCTAAAGCAAATATGTATCAGGGGTATGGACTCAAATATTTTGAGTAGACAGAAAGGCATGTGATATCAAGGCAAGTATCTAGGTAATACAGAATCAAGGGCCATAGTAGTCATGTGGGCTAAAGTATCCACAGCCTCCAAGAACTTACGGTTCCAAGCAGTCCTGTTCTCCAAACTATAAACCAGCGACGTGATAGGGAACACAGAGGAAAGACATTCATTGTATGAGGGCCAGTGCATCATATTGTATGGTCTGTTTTAGGAGCTCCAAATGGCTGGGAAGGACAAACAGCATTGCAAAGAAAACCCTCTGCAAACTCTGCCACAAACACTTCAAGGTGCCTTAAAAGGAAATGGTTTATTAAAGACATTAATAGGCTTAAGCTGTCTATTAGCAGCATGTAGTTCCCAGTAGTAAAGGAGAAAAGCAGCTTTCTTTCTGGAACTCACCCCGTTGGACCACATTTCTGACGGATGAGCTGCCTTCTGGTTAAGACTAGGAATGAAACTATGAGTTTAGACTTCTAAAACCAGATAGATAAGCTAAAGACCTAGGATCTCTGAAAAAAAAGAGTTTTGCTTCTTTAGGCTTAGCAATAAAAACTTTCATAGATAACAACCAGCACCCGTGTTGAAGAGATAGATGTAAGGTCATAAATCTCCAGGAAGGATCCAAGACCAATACCACAGCTATTGTCTGCCCAATGTCTGTAACATTTATCACCTGGTCTTGCCTAATACTTCTAGAGCCAAAAACACTCTTTATCAGATTGGAAACAACAGTGTATAAAGCACATGGCTTTTCTTTGCCTGTGATGCCATTATTTTAAGTTCAAGTAATCCCCATCTTGAATGCAGGCACTGACAGGGTAGATCAGGGCTACACACACCAATTATCCAGGGAAAAGTTGATTAAGGCAAGTATCTGAATGACATCAATCCAGCACAAAAGGTGTCATCCAGATGATTCTCTAAATCGGTTCCTTTTGGTATAATGATCTGCCCTCACCTAAGTTGAATGTCAAAAGAGATGTGCTCTATATCTGAGCAGGTTCAAACAATGTTGAAATAAGCATTTGCTTACTAAATTTCAATTTTCAATTTTAAGGAAAACTTTATGGACTTCTTGGAAAAAAAGTAAATATATTATGACTTGTTAGTTCTTGAATATTTTCTTTTCCTAAATGGCATTCTTTTTTATGTTGCCTTTAGACCACATCTATATAATTTGGTACCACTGCAAGATTCACTAAATACTTCCACATGAAAAGCTTTGGCTTTTTCTCCCTTATTATCAATTGAAGAAAACTTCCTAACATTTGATTCTCAAACTCCTCTTCCTTCATAAACTGAAAATCAGCTGCATATTAATTCAGTTTAGTCTACCATTTGGCTAATTAATCTTGTTTCACCAATAAACAAAAACAAACTCAGTCAATCTTACTTAGATTCTATGAATAAACATGTAGTTTTTGTAAACACATTTAAAAAAAAGCTCAGACCTGCTTGCTCAGACCTACTCACTCAGCCAAACAGTAGATTACTCCCTTTCTGCTTCAATATTATCCAAAGTGGATCCTCAGGCAAGCTAGAGCCAGACTTATAAACCTTTAGAATATAAAACTTATACTAGTGGTAAGACAGCCTCAGTATAAACTATGACACAAGTCACAGAAAAACAAAGTTTGGTTCATAAAGCACAAAGAACCATCAATAAAAAACAAAAGTTATGCTTACATTGTCTCAATTCTTTCTGAATCAATACATCAGTACTGTTCTGTAGGGTAAAGCAATTGAACCACATCTACCTTCCTCTGATGTCCATATCACTTCTCATTTTTACCTAATAATTCTTTCACAATACTTGTCCTCTCTCTTTACTATCCTCTGATCCTCCTTTTTTGCATTTCACCTTAACCCTTGGTGACACACAGCATACCTTGCTCATCAAATCAATCTTGACACATATGAGAGCTCATTCCCCTAAATATCTTGATCCACACACTTTGCCAGCCAAGTCACCCGTACATCCCACAGATTTCCGTAACAACACAAACTTTAGACATTAGAACCAGGCTTTCCAATCTATAAATAAATCACTTTCTCACTTCTTCCTCCCTGCCTTCTCACACCAAGTCCTAGCTCTAGTCATTTTTAAGAATGATCCCCCTGATCCTGGTAACACAGTCATGGCAGCTAAAACAACTATTAAAATGGGAGGCTGGAAACACCTCAAGGAAACATTGCAGAATGCAAAATGTTTCTGCGGCCACGTTCCCTGTCCCCTTCCTGAACCACTGCCATACCGAGGCGTGTCATTATGGACACTAGGTGTGTGTTTTGTCAAGTTGTGACCACACTGACTATCATGCTTCGCACAGAGCGAGAGTTTGCACTTTACAAAGCGAGAGCTCAGAGTTGCTGAATGACGCCTAGACCACTGCGGGTGGGAGGGGAGTTCTGGTGCTCGGTGCAGCTCCCACTGAATCAGTGTGTTTAATATTTCTCTCTCTCTCTCTCTTTCCATTTTAATTTTTTTGGCTGTGGGCTTAAGGACTGCTGCCATCCTGAGGCAAGGACTTGTTGTTTGGCCTAGAGCAGTGAGACAGCCGGTTAGGCACAGTTCCCCAGAGTGTAGCCGCAATTGTATTGGAGATTTTCCCCAAACAACATGTCACTTGGGAGCATGCCAGAGCCAATGTGACTCAGACCTGCCGAGATGTTTAGATGTCTGGAAACATATTTTAAAACTTTCATGCTTTGAGAGCATGAAAGTGGTGTGAGAACCAGCAAAGACTTCAAGAGCACAGGTAACCAGTATGATGACAAAACTACAAACAAAAAATAAAATTTATATCAGCAACGAATTTCACTTCATTTACAAACAGAGGCATGTAACCCTAGCTATTATTGGGCACATTTAACATTGTGGGTTAAATTCACATTGGTCTTATAATGATTTATACAATTTTCTTTCATTAGAAAATTTATCCTAATGACTTAGTTACTATTTCTGAATGATTTTAAATATAACATTTTTTACAGTTACTTTAAAAATAACCAACATCCTCAAGCTTCAAAATGTTCAAACTCAAAATTCTATATTTTAGCATTTAGCCAAATTACAGGAAGAAAAATTAAGCAAGAAAATGGACAAGCACCTTTGAGAATTAAATATATTATGTGATTAATGCTTAGTAAACTTTTCACAAAATAGATTAGCAATTGATCCTAGTCTGTAGGACCCCATGTATCCAAAGAATAAATATCCCATATTCATGTAAAAGAAATCATTTGTGTACCGGGTCATTAGAAATATTTTGCTATGTAAGTAGAAGCTCATGGCCATCCCAGATTAATTAGTGTTCAGCTCTTTGAAAGGACAGGTGTGGCTGGTTGTGGTTTCTTATGCATCTTACATGACTTTCCTTCGAAATAGAAGACACATGGAGAACAAAAACACTCACTGGCTGTTGGTTTGTGAAATAAACTTTTCTTGCCAGGCAAATAAATTCACATTTTATAAATTAACATTTTGTTAACATTTGTTAACATTTTGTTTTCATATCAAACGCCAAGGCAGATTCTCAAGAAGCTCACAACGAGAATTAACTCTGTACAGCGAGAACATCTTCCTCTACCAAGGACAGTTCCAGGGTGTTTTCATTAGCACTGGTTTTCATCCTGAAGTTGAAAGAACCATAGAGTTTTGCAGACTCTTTGGAAGAGGCAAATCTGTTTCGACGATAAAGCTCCCCCTTCCACATAGACATCATCAGCAAACAGGACAGGACGACCCCTCCCAGAGTGAGGAGGCAGAGCCCGGCAATCACACAGCGGTCCAGGTGGGCCCCCAGCCTCGCACTTTCCTTCTCCAGGCGCTCCATCTCCCGGGCTGCCACGGTGTTGGGATCCACAGTGACTTCCCGTGGCACAATGTAAGAGATGATCACCAGCAGGATGCCAGTGACCAAGAACAAGATGGCGCTGATGAAACCGTAATCTACTGACTTCCCTGAAGATGTGGCTTCTGAACTTGTATCATCTTCCTCTTCAGATATCAAGGATATGGCAGCCTCTTGGGACCATTCACTTGGATTTTCCCAGCCCAGGTCTCCAGGGTGATTACGCCCTTTACTTGAAGGAGAACTTCGGTTCTGCTGCTCCAAGTTCACATTCTCGTCCACATAGGTAAAAGAAGTTTCTAATTCCTGGCTGCAGCAGTTGCAGACTTTCCGTTCCACTGCTACTGGGCTGTTCCCTGAGTGGAGAGGTCCCGGTGGGAAGGAGTCTGGCTGAATAGCATGGTCTCTCGGAGAGGAGCAGGGAGATGCTGGAGAAGGACTGAGTTTAGACCCTTCCATCTCAGTTGCTCTTGGTGTGGACGTACAGTGTCTTTGGCAGCAGAGGGCAGCTCTGGTGGCTGCGTCTGCCTGGTCACTGGGAAGCCCTCGTGAACTCCAGTTCATGGCATCACACAGGTCTGCCTGGCTGCTCTTCTCTGCAAGGTAGTGGAGCTCCATGGGAGCTAGTCAGACAGCCCCTAGCAGCTTTCAGAAAGCCTACCAATAACAACGCAGTTAGATAAGAACCCGACAGAAGCTAAGGCTGCACTGCCAGGAGTGCTGCTCCTGAGGTCCCCATTTCCTCTGCAGCCACAGCTGTCGGCACCTCAGCCCGTTTCTCCTAAAGAGGGGAAAAGAAGGGAGGGGATTTCTAGCGACGGTAAAGAAGTGTGGAAAGGACAAATGCTCTGACTTGTCACAGGGATTTACACTGAGAAACTTAGGTCAGGGTAGAAAAGGTGCACGGAGGAAGTGGCAGTGTCTCTGGAGAAAGCACACTGCCGTCACCAAGCCAAATTTATCCAAGGACTCACACATTCCTGCGACAGGATCCCTCAAATGAGAAGGCAGGTTTCCTGTATAAAGACACAAATGAGAAAGGCAGGGGCCGTTTTTAGCAGAGCTGCTAACATTCAAGGGGACTTGGGAAAGCACAGATTTCCTAATGCAATTAGATTGTGAGTGTTTCTACTCTCTGTAGTTCACAACAGATTCTAACACAGATTAGCTTCAGAGTGTCACCATGAGCGAATGCCCCTTGTCAGTTGGGCTCCACTGGAGCAGGGGCTCAGCATTTTGAATCTGTAGCTTGGAAGTGGGTGAAAAAAGCTGGTGTAATCAGCCACCTCTCCTAACCTCACACCTCAAACATCCAATGACCCTAGACACAGGGCCCTGTATTTACAAGACCACATGCTCCTTGTTCGCTGTGCTACCACTGGCCCCATTCCCTCACCACATGTTCTGGACACCAAAGAGTGGAGACAACACACCTCGCTGTGATCCCTGCTAAGTACAAGGAGCCAGCCCACTCCCGCCCCACGCTCCCCCCACACACTGCTGCCTGTTCCAGCTGGTCTGGGTGGGTCTGAGGTCATTCCCCTCTGTACTGTTTGCTAACAAACGTGCACAAGAAATTGACCATCCAGAAATTTTTACGAAACCAATCTAGATGTAGACTGACAATAAGAGACAAACCATAAACCCACAGAGTCAGAGTTCTGTTGAGGCAAATTGGTGAGAAGCTATTTTCAAGGTTACCTCTGGGATTTTATATCCCTGACACTCCGTCACCCCTACTGCAGCAGGGGCCTTTCTGGAATAGAACTTTGGGCTGAGCAGAAAACAATCACCCCATCTTTCTCCGCTTCTGCCATTTTTCCAAGGAATAAAAATTCACTTTCCACTATTACTAAATATGGGGCTTTTAACCACGGAACCCCTTTTACTTTGCTTCTAAATCCAGGGTGATAATTGATTTAACTCAGGGCTTGAGGCTTATTATGCTTCAAAACCCACAGCTCCAAAGCAGGTAACAGAAGCACAGGCAAGGGTCACCTAAGGTCAACCTGGCAACGCAAAACATGGGAGAGGGAACTGACACGTTTTCTGCTATACATCAGAGATTGTTAAAAACAAACAAACAAATAAACACAAAAAACACTTTTCTCCTATTATTGGAGTTTCTCTGTAACGAAAACAGCAAAAAACACCAAGTGAAAGAAAACCATAACTGAACTTGAGCTTTCCTTCAGCAAGTGAGCAACCGCCTACCGAAGGATCCCTCAGTGAATGAAAGGATCTTAGCGGGATTCTTCAATTACAGAAATGAGAAATCGCCTCGCAGTTCCCTCAGGCATTATGCGCTCTGATTAACCTTTGGCACAATTAACTCATCACATTAGATTACTTTGGATAAAATCGGCAGGGTTCCTTACGGGACTTCCAATTTATAATAGAGGAGGAGAGAAATCCCCACTTAATTCTCTACTCCAGCCTGTACCTCTCTTTAAATAAAAGAGAAGCTCCCGCTTGTTCTATCCGAGCTGCACAGCCGATTTCCTTTGCAGCTCCGTAATCCGGGGCTTCCATCCTCAGTGGAGAACGGATAATCCCAGGGGACCAGCTAAAGGCTCTTTGCTTCCGTACTCTCGCTCTTTTTTCTCTGGTCTGCTAAAAGCCCAGTTAACGATATTGCACTTCAGGGGAGGAGAGGGGACAGCACTTTCTCTCGTCTGTCTGTCGGCAATTAACAGCATTAATATTTGCGTAGGAACTGACAAGGGCGAGGCTGGTCTGGGGGAGGCGACCTCGGGACGCGTCCTGTGCGCGCTGTGCCGGGAGGGCAAGGCGCAAGCCCCGGGCAGCCGAGCCCTGCGCGGGCGCTGCGGGATCCATCAATCCATTTCTGGGGAGCTGTGCGCCCACCCGAGGCACCGGGGGGCCGGCTGGGTCCCCCTAGTACTCGGAGCAGGCACCTTGGGCAGGGAGTGGGGATGTGCGCCCCTGCTCCACCGGGCTCCCGGGCTCTCTCCCTCGCGTCCAGCGCCTCCTCCCTGTCCCACTCTCCGCTACTCACCTTCTTGCCTCGGCCACCCCGCGCGGCTCGAGCCCCGCGCGCTCGCCCCGGCACGGCTCCCGCTGAAAGTCCCCCAATCACCAGCCGCGGCACTTGTAGCCTCTGCGCGCGGCTCTGGGCTCCGCGGGGTGGGCAGCGCCCGCCGTGCCGGGCTGGGCGGGGCGGGGCGGGGCGGGGCGGGGCGCTCTTTCCCTCTCTCTCTGTCTCTCTGTCTCTCTGTCTCTCTCTCTCTCTCTCTCTCTCTCTCGCTGAGCATTCCGGGAGTTGTAGTCCAGGGCGGTCCCTGCGTCCCTCCCTTCCCGGTCTCCCCTTCCTGCAGGTGAGTTCCCCCTATATCCCCTCACACTCTTGCCTGGCACTTCAGAAAAAAGCCCTGGCTTCTAAGCTCAGAGTGGGGTGCCCTTGCCTCAGGCGTGGCCACAGGATTGTGGGGGAAGGACAGGAAGGAAAAAGTGTATATTTAGTTTCAAGTATGTGCCAGGCAATTTGCATACTTTGTCTTTTCTAACAGACAAAACACATCTTCAAAGTAGATTTTATTAATCCTCATTTTATAGATGAAGAAACTGGTTCAGAGTGATTAAGTGCCTCATCCAAGGTTGCAAAGACAAATAGCAGCTTCTAAAACTGCATCCAGGAGTCAGATTCCAAAGTCATTGCCTTTCCCATAAAATCACATTTCTAGAGGACTAGCTTGTCAAGGCACATTTTATAGGGATCCGTTCTGCACTTAGTACTATAGATTCAAAAGAGGCATCCTGGGGTGTCTAGAAGGGAGCAAGTAAGATATTGAAGGAACTTGAACTCAAGTTGACAAGGAGATGCTGAAGGAACGTGGGGTATTTAGCCAGAGGGGAAGACTTAGAGGAAACAAAACTATTTTTTAATAATTTAAAATTTGTAAATAGAGCAGGAATTCTATATCGTTTTTAAAAGGGCAAAAGGAAAACTAATGACAATAATATGATTTTTCTGGTGCTCTTGTGCTATCATCTTTAATTCTTACACCAACTCTATAAAAGAGGCAGTATCATTGCATCCATTTTACAATGTAGAAATTGAGGTTTGAAAAGTGTAATCTCTTTCTCAAGGTCTGAGAACTAGTAATTGGCAGAGCCAAGATTCTAACTTGAGTCTGTCTGATTCCAGAGACTGACCTCTTCACCACTATGCCATACTGAGCTGTGCTTCACAATCTTTTTCATGGCAGAACATATGTAAAAGATGATAGTATTTATGGCTCTAGGATAAACACAGGAAGTTTCTCATGGCCATAGTCCTGAGGCTATGGCTACGTCAGTCCCTGCAGGACAGGTTGGAGGGCTAAGGAAATAAATAAGCCAGCACACCTGTGATACACTGAGGTCTGGGAAGCTCTGGATAGCACTATTAGATTTAATAAGGAGACTGATTTGGGGCTTAGCATGAGGAAGGACATTATTTCTGAGAATTTGAAATGGATGTCTCGTGAAAGTGAATTCTCTATTGCTGGTGAGGATAAAAAAAGAAGAGCCATTTATTAGTGATGTTGTAGAAGGGATTCATCTAGTAGGATTAGAGGATTTCTGTGTTCTCCACACTGAACTGATTCTAACTTACATCTCTTTCATGAAGTCTTTTTCTTCCAAGTCTGTCCCCAAGGATTCTACCTCCTATGGACTCGTCACAGTGATATTTTTGATATTTATCATCTGTTGTGACATTTCTTGAATGGTTAGCTAATTAGTGCTTGTGGTTTAACTTCTCACTTAGGTACCTAAACTTCAAATGGCAATTGTAAGTAAGCACCTCAAGGTTAGTGTCTGCATGCTGAACATCTTAATACTTCCTGCAGAAAGTGCAATATTTCTGTTGAATACAGTGGGGGAAGATGACAATACTGAACTGAGTCTTGAGATGATTATCTATCCATGCTATTCTCTCCCATTTCATATTTCTATATATAGTATCCTTGACTGTTGACATATTCTTAAGCACTAAAAATATATCAACTCTGCACGAACACACTACAAAATCCCCTTTAAAATTCTACAGAAAAAAAAATAAAGGTGGAATCACTGAGCTCTTGGATAAAAAAGCTCTGTGAAAATTGCCTCTTGCTGGAATAACATCCCCTCTCCTATAAGTTCACGCCTACAACTTCCCTGAAAATCCAACCTGAGAACCTTTTCCAAGAACCTTTCTTGTTCAACATCCTCAACTTCTTGTGACCCTTCTAATTGGCTTTCTAGTGGTATAATAAACTTCCTTTTATACTGTCATTTTACATATAAGAAAGTATTTCATGTATATTTCATACTGCTTTCTATGTGACCTGTCTTCCAAGATAAAATTTAAGCTCCTTGAGAACGAACATATTGTTTTTATTACTTTGAAACTATACATGGGCATGAAATAAGTGCAAGGCATGGGCAACAGTAGTTCCTTGATATATGTTTATGAAATAATTGACAGTAGTAAAATCACACTTAAAAATCTACATAATGATTTTGATATTACAAAAATTTTGATTATGTCTCATGTTTTCCTGTTTACTTACACTCTGTTATGGGAGGAGCAATCATATTATACTAAGTTAACCAGAAAATAGATTCTGAGAAGTAAACTTACCATGTGAATCAAGGGTAGTGCAAAGACTTCTAACAATCAGTCTCATTAATAATTACTAAGAATGCTTTCCAGTTTTTTTCAACAATAATAATAAGGGCTGATTATATATAAATATCTTTAGTGAACTTGGAGTTATTAGCATGAGAGGTTGGGGCCTAGGGAGGAATTATATAATAAAAAAAAGACATTTTTGGAATAGGCTGAATAGCAGACCATTTAATGAAAATAGTACAAGGAATATGGCCTTGCACCCCAGCTGGAGCTTCTAAACTATGAAAGAGAAGAATGAAAATGACCATAATTTAGAAAATGGAAAACTTGTTAATTAACAAGATTCTAGGAACAAAGATGTCATATTAAACTTAAAAGATTTCCTTTTAATAAGAATGCTTACAGTGGCCAAGCAGTCATATTACTTAAATAAATAAAGTGGCTGGATACAGACAACAGGAGTAGGGAGAAGACTACCCAAGTTAAGAGCAAGTCTCTTTCCTATAAGGGGAAAGTATCCCCTAACCATTCTACTCAATTTTTGTCTTAAGCAAATTTAGATATCAATAAGAGTCAGATATCACAATTTTTACTCAAAAGTCAGTATTTTTTAAGAGGCAGGGTCTTACTCTGTCACCCAGGCTGGAATGAGTGGTGCTATCATAGCTCACTGCAGTCTTGAACTCCTGGGTTCAAGTGATCCTTCTGCCTCAGCCTCCCAAGTAGATAGGGCACCAGGTGTACACCACCACACTCAGCTAATTTTGGTTTTTTATTTTCAAAAAATTTTAAACTCTGTATGGGTCAAAGAACATATAATTATGGGAAACATTGGCTTCCAGTAATAGCAGGCTAAGTAATTTAGATCCACCCACTGCTTAAGACAGCTAGAAAATCTGGACCAAATTTGTACAAGTCACTTGACTGAAGACATGAAAAGTTAAGATAGAGAAAAAAATTACTGGGCTAGGATCCAGAGAAGGAGAGAGGCTCAGAGAGGCAAGTCAGGAGCTTGGAGCTTCTTTTTACTTGGGAATATTAGATGATTCCAGAGAGAACAGTTTAGAGGCAATGAGGCTAAGGAGAATGGAGTTTGGGGTCCTGAACCCACCAAGGGAAGGAGGCATAGTGAATCTGCTCCATTCCCTAAACTTTGGGTTGGAATCCTGAAAGGTTGCATCCTAGCAGGGCAAACCAGGAGTGGGATAGCTCCTCACAGGGAATGCACCTCAGTTTGTGAATATCTCAATTCCTAAAATTTAACCAAGGTGACTTCACAGTGCTAGAACACCAGGTACCTGGCAGGAGAAAGTATAAGCAGTCTCTGAAAAAATACAGCATCATCACAAACCAATTTTACCAACAATTTTGCAAGTACAGCAACATAAAAAATAATCATGACAAAAGCTAATCTCTAGAGGTCACATATTGTATGATTACACACACACACACACACACACACACAAACATTTTCAAAAGGACAAGATTATAGAGATGAAGAACAGATTAGTGGTTGCCAGGAGATAGAGATAGTGGAGGATAAAGGTGTAGGTATAACAAAGGCAGAACATCAGGGAGAATTTTTGTGGTGATGGAAAAGTTCTGTATCTTGAATTAAAAATGTACAAGGGATATCCAAAAGTTCAATATGTACATGGAAAGGGGCACAGCATCATTAATCATAAGGGGAATGCAGTTTAAAACCACACCACATCACATCCACCAGAATAGATGAAGTGGTAAAACAATTGGCAATCCCAAGTTTTGGTACAGTATAGAGCAACTAGAGTCTCATATAATGAGAATGTAAATTGATACTACTTTGGAAAACTATTTTTTGCATTGTCTACAAAAGTTAACTGTGTGGCAGCAATTCTACTTCTAGATATATACTCAACAGAGAGACATGCACATAAGCACAAAATGTGCTAGAAAATGCCCGACAATAGGATAGATTAAAAAAAAATGTAGAAGACTAACACATTGGAATAATATGTAAGAAATAAACCACAGTTGTTTGCAAAAAAAAGTAGATAAATCTCACAAAGATAATTGTTGGGTATAGAGAAAATGTTTTTTCTATTTGTGGGGCTTTCTAAGTAAATTTTGCTGAAACTTGGGATCCTGGGCTAAGAGCAAGGGTAATTTACAACCACATAAATAATGAGAGAACTGCAAAGAGATTTATCTAACTTTAGAGGTAGATAGTCTAGAGGTAGGTATTCAAGGGGGAATGAGGCCTAGGACTTTGGAAACATTTCTGCATTGAAAAAGCTGGACACACCTGGGTATATTTAGCCTTAGAGAGATGTATTTATATTTTAAAAGTTTAGAGAACCCAAGATTTTTGTGTCCACGGAGCAAAGTTTTTCTCAATCTTTTTGGGAGGAGAGTAGAAGGCAGCTCTCTCTTGCTTCTAAATGTAAACAGACAAAATCAGTTTTTCTCTGTCTCTCACCTGTGATACAGACTTTGAAGTTTGTATGCCTGAGACATCTGACCTGGCTTTC